TTAAATGTGGGCTGCTCACAATGACTTCCTCCTAAAGAGTAAAGTATGAAAAGGGACTAAAGAGTAACTTCATAGTAGGGAAACCTGACCACACCACCTCCACCAACTGATCAAGGTTAATGTCATCAGTCATAGGTTTTATTATAGCCTGTACCCTTGATATGATGGAATGGAAATGGCACTTTACCTCTGTTGTCTTCCTCCCCCAAACCCACAACTTCAGTCTAATTATGAGAAAAACTTCAGACAAGCCCAGATGGAGGGACATTCTATAACATACTTGACCAGTACTCCTCAAAACTGTCAAGGTCATCAAAAATAAGGAAGGTCTGAGAAACTATCATAGTCGAGAGGAGCCTAGGGAGACCTGGTGACTAAATGTGTTTTGGATAGGATCTTGGAATAAAAAAAAGGCTGTTAGGTAAACTAAGAAAATCCAAATGAAGTATGAACTTTAGTTAATAATAACACATAATATTTGTACACTGGTTATGAAAAATGTACCCATACAATGTAACCTGGGAAACTGGGTATGGAGTGTGTGTGTGTGTGTGTGTGTATTTACATACATACACGGAAAAGCTTCAAAGATAGTGCAGAGAATATAAATCTAAAACTATTCCTTAATGAAAAGTTCACTTAAAGAGAAGAAATAAAGTAGAGGAAGGAATTCTCATTTGCTACTGGTTAAAATGGCACAACCATTTTGTAAAACAGTCTGGCAGTTGCTTATAAAATCAAACATACACTTACTCTATGACCTAGCGATTCTACTACTTGGTGTTTACCCAAGTGAAATGAAAACCTATGATCATACCAAAGCCAGTAAGTACACAAATACTTATAACAGCTTTATTTGTAATTGCCAAAAACTGGAAGCAATCTAAACATCTCTCAGTTAGAGAATGGGTAAATTAACTGTGGCACATTCATACACTGAAATACTACTCAGCAATCAAAAGGAACAAATCCCAAGACATGCAACATGGATAAATCTCAAATTCATTGCGCTTAGTAAGAGAAGTCAAACTCAAAAGGCTCCAGAATCTACTTATATGACATTTTAGAAAAGGCAAAGCTACAGGGACAGACAACAGATGGTACCAAGAGCTGGGGATTGGGGGAGGAGATGGACTACATAGGGACATACGGCGAATATTGAGAATAATGGAATTGTCCTATATCTCGATTGTCATGGTCAAAAAACAGTGTATGTTTATCAAAACTCACAGAACGGCACACTTATAGAGGTAAATTTTACTATATGTAAATTACATCTTGATTTAAAACTAGGTTAGAAAAACCAACTCAGGGATGATTAGCCACATTTCAAAACTGCTCTCCAAGGGATTTATTTGTTTAACTAGTATTCTCACTTACTGCATTTTCAGTGAGTACATTCCAATTGTTTAGTTTGCAAAAAGGGCACTTCTGAGGTTTTACATGAATATCAATCACTGTGCTACTTGCTATTAGAGACTCAGAAAGATCAAGAAGCAGACACAGATGACAGCTAGGCTCATGTCTTAACAGTGGTGACGTTAGCTAATCACCTGCTTTTGATGTAACGTGAGCTGATGAGACCTTACTTTTGTATGACACTTCGTAGTTTACAAAGCTCTCTCACAGGCATGTGACTCACTCATGTGACCCACACAATACTTATGCCACTTAGGTGGGACAAGTTATGTCATCTCCATTTTAAAAGGAGAGGGAGGGGCTGAGAGTTATCACTTACCTTTGTATGCAGGTACACCAATGTGGCCCTCTCTTTAGGTTAGCTAATTAATACAAAACACATAGTAATTTGGTGTGATAGATATTATTATTTTACATATTTTACAAATAAGGAATATCATAACTTTACGGATGAGGAAACTGAAGTCCTGGGAATTTCCCAAGGTCATTTGACTAAGTAAGTATTAAAGCCAAGGGTTAAACTCTGACAATCTGGCTCTAAAGCTACTTTCTATTATTCCACAGGCTAGTTATGTGATTATTATGCAGAGTATAGTGAGATTAATGGCATTTTGCCATGAATCTTCACATCTGTAATGTGCTAGTGAGTGGAGAGTTTTAATTAGCTTTAGTTATCAGAGCCAGTTATTATATGTAAAGTCTACTTTACCCACTGTCATCTTTCCTAGTAACTTTGGGAGCTTGGAAGGCAGTCTGTAATCTTTGTGTTTCTCTCAGCCTCTTGTGTTTGGATAATGACTTCCAGAAGAAAGAGCCCATCGGTATGAACATGAGAGGAGGTGATTTGTCAACAAATTCTAGAACATCTGTATCAAAATGACTATTTTTCTTTAAGATAGTTACTTTGAGAGGACATCCAAGTCAAATTGCTTTTTAGTTATGCCTCATTTTTATGCAAAATAATAGTGCTACCTTCCTTACCAACGTTAGCTCTGAAATCTTTTTCTTGTTTCCATGGTGGTCTCTGAGTTACTTCCGGGCAGGGCTGAGCCTTCTCCTCACTGTGTCCTCATATCCAGCACAGAAACCGGCCCTCCAAGGTGCTCAGACCATGTTTGTTGAGCCAAAATTCATTCTCCAGGATAGAGATGTCACTGCAGGGTAGGAGCTGGTCCAAAGTCATCTCATCCCTCTTGGTCCCTGGCCTGAAGAAGGTGGACAACCACTTGGCAGGAAACCTTAAATAATGCCATCTCAGTTACCTGACTCCTCCCACAGGTTTATTAGTCACCGTCTACAGTTGTACTTATTTATTTGAGCCTGTTTCATCTTGGGTCATATTTCTTGCTCCTCTACTCATACTTCCCTTTCCTTCATTTCTTCCGGCCTGACCAACTCCATCCTGAAGGCCACTCTGAACCCAGTCTCACCCTTACTGAGTGATGTTTTGCGCCCCTTGCCCTCATCTCAGGGACCAAGCATAGGTTTTTCTACCTTTCCTTGCTCTGTTCCTCACGCTTGGAGCCTCCCTGGGGAGGAACTGGTAGCATGGAACCTATGAATTGAGTTCAGTCTTTTTTCTACTCATCACTGATCTTTCGAAACACATGTGGTTTGCTGGATTTTAAAGCAGAACCTCTCATCTCTAGACCAGAGAGCAGAAGAGTCAGAGGTTCATCAAAGCCTTCATTGTAATGAGGGAGGCCTTAGGGAAAGCCCTGTCATGCACACCCCACCCCCTTTTCTTTTCGGAATTCCTACTGAGTGTTGTTATCTGCCAGCCCATCTTCAGTTCTCCTTATCAAAATCTTAAAGGAAAATATCCCTAGTGTGAACGGAACTAGCAATTAGTAGGAAAAAATAAGTACTACTCCCTTTTGATGTTTGGCCTAATTTAGAAGAATATGAATTTGTTCCAGTCCTAATAGAAATAGGTTTCTATGTTCTCACTCATTCAGAGTGGTCACAGCCTGTACTTACCTTCTTCTCATTGTGTGATAGAAAGTGCTGGGCTAGGAGTTTAGAGACCTGATTTAATCACGGAGTCTATGAAAAACTGAGTATCCCTTGTTTGCATCACCTGTAAATGAAAGTTCTAATTACTAAATGACTTCAGCCTTAACACTCATTTCCACCCCCATTTGTTAAGCCAGCTCAGCCCTGTGCTCAGTTCCAAACCTGCAATGAGAAAGACATATCATTCATTCTTTTCCTCAAGTTCCCTATAGGCTTCTGCCCAAGATTACCTTACTCCCACCCTGGCAAGTGCTTCCTGAAGCTTTTTGGTATATGGGTGTCATTTCCATCTCCTTAGACTGCGAGCCCCTTACACTGTGGGCAGTGGTCATACCCACTCTCTTCTGTCTCCCCACTGTGCCTGGCACCCAGTGGACACATAAAGGTTTTTAGAAAGAAGTCTTCTAGGTCAAGAAGGTCCTCAGCCTACAGTACAAGCTTTCAAAGGCTAGATGGCACTGTTGCCAGAGCCAACTCAGGTGTGTTCTGAAATCGTGGTGAGGAGGGAAGAGAGAATAGAGCACGGGGCTCGGGAACATTCCCTGGCTGAGTTTGATTCATACACGTTGCTGAAATGCAGGACTCCTTCCTGACCAGTGTAGAGCACTTTGCCGTTGTTACGGCATCTTTACCAACATGGCTGCAGATGGTCTTCGCAACAGCCTTAACACTGTATCAATTCTAATTTTATGGAACTGCATGCAGCTCAGAGAAATCAAGTGCCTAGACTAAAATTACATGGCGATTAATCGACAGAGATTTTTACCATCCATATTTTTTTGGCATTGTCTGACCACACGAGGGTCCTCAGAGTACGCTGAAGGAGGCCTCTGGTCGGAGATGTGGTTGTTGCAGGAGGGCGGCCTGGGTGAACTGGACCCAGACCGACGGGGAAAGGTCGGGTTCTCAGCCATACTGACTGCAAGGCATCAGCTTAACCTGCACCTCGAAATGTCTGCATTTGTGATCAGGGGAGAACATAGTCATTTTGGAATAAACAAATGACAATACATGTAGGTTCTTTGAAGAACAGAAGTTGTGGGTGATTTCTACACTTGTTAGCATCTAAGATCAATGGTTGATGTTTTATTTAAAGAATGTTCTATTTTAGGATGCCACCCTGTGGTTTGGTTGTACTTGTCATTTGTCCATTTTGTTGCCATTTTCACGTTTTCTCATCAAAAACAAAACAAACAAATAAAACCATCTTGTGCAGTAGTCAAGATAGGTGCTGTGACTGCCTATTTTATAATGAAAAAAAAAAGAGGGTCACAAAAGTTAAGAGACAAGTTCAAAGTCACAGAGACAGAGCTTATAAATGGTTCAACTAAAACTTTAGCCCAGTATGAAGCTGAAATCAAATTTTTTCCTCTTTCACCATAGTTTTTCCAGGCTATCTAGACATCACAAAATTAGGAGGGTTGTTGTTGATATGGAAGGTAAGGCATCAGAGACTAGAAAAATACCTATACGGAGTGATTAGTAATTGATTATATGCAAATTTATCCAAAACTGAGAGAAAATTATATCTTATTTGTGCCATCCAATTTTCTATTTCTCCCCAGGATGATGAAGATAAGCTCACTTGGAAAGATCGTTTCCCAGGTTATCTGATGAACTTCGCCTCCATCTTGTTCATGGTAATTTCTCCGAGGGAACACCTGCCCATGACTTATGCATGTCAGATCTTGTTAAGTGAATACTGTGGGTATGTTATTCTGTTATGCTATAGGAATAACCACGGACTAGTAAAGATGAAGCCACAGTCCCTGTGTAGAGGGACAGGAACTTATCTGATAGTGAGGCCATTGCTCGTATCAGTCACCTGAAAAGGGGAAGGTGATTCCCTGAAACAGAAAATCAGATCTGGGAGGGTCAGTGACCATCAGTGGCTGTCGATGGAGTTTCTGTCTTTTCAGAAAGAAGAGGGTAGAAGGGGTTTCTATCTTCTCAGCCTTGACCACAGATGTTTGAAGTTGGAACTTCTAGGGGGTAGGTTGTGAGATGATGCCTTCCTCATTGGACAGACCAAGACCTTGGAATACCTAATCCGGTTAGATGGCAGCAGAACTGTGGCAGCCTGTTCAGGATGGCTTTCTCTGATGTTTTGTGGAATAGAACAGAGGCTGGAAACCATAGGAGACAGCCAGCCTGGGCTTTTTAAGCTGATTCTTCAGTTTCCCTATAGTTGCTATATTTATTTCTCTGTGTTCTCTCTAAGACTTTGGGAGGGCCTTTTTGAAAGACCCAGATGGTCTCAGCTGTGTCAGAGAAGGTAAGGAAGGGATTTGTGATTTATATTTGAGTCAGATCAATAAGGAGGTAGCAGGTCATTCTTGGAAGCCAGGATGGAAGAGCCAATAGTAATCGAGGATATTTAAAACACCCTACCTTGCTGAAAATAATAAAAGGTGAAACTCAGAGGACTGAGCTCAGGTCACTAAGATATCTTCCCTCTCTTACTGGGTAGACTCCTAGTATTCAAGACTGGAGCTTCTGTTTTACAAAGGAGAGTTGTGTCCTTACAGCATTTCTAAGCAGGACGACACATTAGTCAAGGAGTGGGGAAGAAATTGCTTGTTCAAAAAAAAAAATGGAATTGAAATTCTAATAATTTTCTGGACTTACTGGCTACAGGTAACTGATCCTGGCCCAAAGTTCTTATTGCCGTCAGCACCATGGAGGACAGGAACCATGTCTGAGTCTCAAAAATTTTAAAAGTGAATGAAATACCTAATTCAACAACTCGTTTCGCAGATGAAGTGCAGGGGTGATGGGTGCCTTTCCGGGACTTAGACGTCCACATTTGTTAACTTCTCATTGCTTAGCAAGAGCAAGGCATGTAGACCTTACTCAGGAACATGTGGTGAATCGCAATGTGTTGAGCTGGAATGATATAAAGTTTAATTTAGTACTTCAAAGCCTCCCACAATATGCATGTTGTTGTCAGAGTTCATTCATTCAAGAAATATGTAATGGGTGCCAACTATGTGCTTAACACTATTCTTAGCACTAGAGATGGAATGGAAAATAAAATAATTCCTCCCTTAAGGCGTCTATTGATAACCCATATGTACATTAATAGGAAAATAGATATATAAAATAGACTTCTATCTCCAGTATTGGTAGGTTAAGATATTTGTAACATCACATCTTGCTGAAAATAAAAAAAGGGAGGGGGATAAATATATTTTTCAATTTTTTTAAAGCCTAGAAGGGCTGACAGGACAGTGAAGAATACTAGGCTAAACTCTAAAGGAGGATGGGAGCTGCTTTTACCTTGAGGACATTTTTCCATCTAGGCAAATAGCTTTGGTTTTGGTGGTTTTCTGGGGCAAGGAGGATAGAAATCAGGGGAAATGGCTGGATCAAAGTGGGGATTCTAACAGGAAGTCCTCACCAAATTAAATTGGAATTCCAAAGGGCTACTATACTCTTAGAATAAAAATGAAGTGGAACTAAACCCACTCCCTCCCTATTTATGGGACTGCAGAGAAATGTAGGTTCTCAACAGAACAGAGAGAAAAAGAGAAGCAAAACCCTGTCCCTCAGAAGTGGCCCTGGCCAACCCCTTCGTGGTTTCACAGTCTGGTTCATCACAGGAGAGAACTAGGGCATTACCCTAGAACAGTGTGTGGAACATGAAACCAAGGGGTCAGAGTCGTGTTTATGAAAGAGGGTCCTTTTGTTGTGACACTTGGGGAAGGCAGAGGCACCTACTGCCATAAACTCCATGATCAAATACCAATGCCTCCTTCCTTCACCCTCTGTGACTAAACCTTGGCAGAAGATGCCACGACAATGACCATGGGGACGATTTTAGGGATGCCGATCTAGCAGATCTGCTGGGGGATATTTTTCATGCCTTGATGAGAGCCAAGAAATGCCACATGCTGTGTCCTTTTTTCCCACCATGATAGAGGCTAGCATGGGCAAAGATAAATTTTCTCTTTCTTTTCCAACCCAGTGTGTCGAGCTAAAGTTTTTCCCTTTTTGAATTAACCCTCTTTTGGTTTCATTTTGATGTGTGAGGGGATTATCAGAGGCAATGTCCTTTTTCTAAGCTATGTGCCTGAGCTTCCCTCCCATGCCCAAGACAATCATCTATTTATACTTGTGTATTGGGAACCAGCCACCAGAACCTGGATTTTTGCAGTGGCCTCCTAAATGATCTCCCTGCTTCTATACTGTACCTCTACTGATCTTTTTAAAAATCTAGGTCCAATCATCATGTCATTCCTCTGCTCAAAACTCTCTAAAGTCTTCACATCTTATGAGATGTAGAAGCAACAACATTTTTATACTACAGGGCTGACCCTCCTCCTTTCCACCACCCATCTTCTGCTCCAATTCTCCTCTTGCTCAGTTGGGTCCTTGCTGAAACATCACCGTCTCATCTAGGTCTTTCCCGACCACCTTATTTTAAATTGTAACCTTCCCCTATGTCCCTGTTCTGCTTTATTTGTTTCCATAGTATTTCTCACACCAAATATACTATATATTTTACCTATTAATTCATTTATTGTCTGTCTTTTCCCTACTAGAAGATCAACTCCATGAGGGCAGAAATTTCTGTCTGCGTTTTTTTTTTTTTTTTTTCACAGTATATCCCTGCCACCTAAAACAGTAACTGGCACATAGTAGATACTCAAGACATATTTTATGAATGACCGAATGGGAAAATAAATTAAGTAGGTGCCAGAGACAACTTGTTATGTCAACAATAAAGTCCTTGATGTGTGTATTTTTAAAAACCGAGGGACCGTTATGTGCCATGCTCTGGACTGGGTGCTCTCCCACTAGCTGCTTCTCCTCGAGTTCACTTCTGCCTTTGCATTTCTACTTGCTCCTCCTTATACTTTCCTCCAAGCCTTTCCCATAGAAAATGGTCCTACAGCCCATGACTCTGTCTAGCTACTAGTCGGCTTATCCCTGTTTTCTGCGTGCAATGGTTTTCTCAACTTTGCTTCAGAATACAAGTCCTGGAGGGTAGGGACCAGACCTACTCTCCTTCCTGGCTCTCTCTTGTAGCATCAAGTAGGACTCTGGATTCTGTAGGCTTCCATTGCAATTTGGCTATGCTCAGAAGTAAAGCTATGAATTGAAACGCCCAAAGCAACAAGGACCATGTGCTGGGGAGCTAGACTGCCTACAGCTGAGGATCAGCAAATCTTTGTCAAACACGTTTCACACCTGAGGCACCTCTATGAAACGGCAGGAGCATAAAGGACAGTACAAAATCAACCTGACTTTTGGCCTAGTTGGCGAAGAATGGTCACAAACATGAAATATACGCAGCACAATGGTTTGCACAATGAGTGATTAGAAAAAAATTGTTGACTTTAATAAACAAAATCAAGAATGGAGCCAGCATGGTAGGAAAAGTACTGGACATGGGTTCTAATGTCAGAATGGGACTGTAGACTTGGCAGCCCTAGTGCAGGGTTCTGGATATCACTAATTTGCATTTAGAAAAGGCACGTCTTAGGTGGTTTTATAAGGGTTAGAGCTTGTGATAATGTGCACTGAATAATGACGTTGAGAGAATACAAATGGATCAGCTGTTGTTGATGATGATGTTATCACCATTAGTATCTCAGCTCTGCCGTGTACCCTCCAGACCTTGGACCAATCACATTACTGCTTCTTGAGCCTTAGTTCCTTATATATGAGATCAAAGGCTGGACATGGATGATCCCTAAATGCTAAAATTCTTTTATTCTATGATCCAAGAGACTAGACTGGTAGTCCATGCCTTGTGACCTTGAGTAAATCACTTCACTTTCCACACCTGTTTCCTTATCTCCAAAATGGTCATGGGACTGGGTTGGTTCTCTCCAAGCTCTTACAGTTTGAAAACCGTGAATCTTGAAGTGTTTGTGGGAAACACCAAAGGAGAGATTCAAAGTCTAATTTCTATAGTGGAATAGAAAATCGAAACCAGATAAAATTGCAAAGAACAGCGTCAGAGGGCTGGGGAGGTAGGGGCACGTTGGAGGTGGGGCTGGGGAGGTAAGGAGGGTGGGAAGAAGGGCTTTCCTAGGTGAGGAGAGCATTGCCTCTGGAACTTGAATAGAAATCTTGTTAAAGTGGAGATTCTGAGTCAGGATGTCTGGAGTTGTGCTTGAGATTCTGTATGTTTATCAAGCTCCCAGCATCACGATGGAGCAGGTCCCCTGGATCATGCTTTGAGTAGCGAGGAAGAGTGTTCTTCCTTCTCCCGTTTGGTGGCTGGGCCTCTGAGAGAAGGAGGATGGAAGCTGATCTCTTCCTCGCTGGTTCATTTCTCCATGCACCACCCCCAAGACTCCAAAGCAAAGGATGTTTTTGCCATTGTTGTTTTTCCTCCAGTCATTCCCCAAACCCAACTCCAAACACACACACACACACACACACAGACACACACACACACACACACACTCACACACAGACACACACATGGACACACATACAGACACTCACACACACACTGACACACACACACACAGAGACACATACACACAGACATACACACACACTCACACACACACACTCACACACACACGATCTTGGATGCCCTGGCCGCCCCTGTCTCATCATTACTTCCATCACTGGCTTTCACTGCAAAAGTGATTTTGGGGGAAAAGAATCTCACACCACGTTTTCCAGGCCCTTACTGTCTGGCAGTGACAATCCCAGAGGAATGGGAAGTGAAAATGTCTGCATGGTTGGAGAGTGATGATGTCATGTCCAGGTTTCCCCACTTACGTGGTTGGTAGCCATTCCTCCCTAGTCCTGGAGGCGAGTGTTTCTGTGGCTCCCACCCCAACCCTGCATCAGAAGAGGGGCCCCCCACAGAGTGATTTTCCCATCTCACCTCTCCTCCACCCTGACACACACGTATGTGAGCACACATGTGTGCTGCGTGCACACATACATGGCCTCCCTCTATTCAGAGAAGGCTGCCATCCTCACTTCCTTAGGGCGGCTTCTCTGTCACACCGTGGCCCACAGAGCAAACACTAATATTTGTAAAGCACACGGGGGTAAACAGCTGAGGTTGCCACCAGTACACCCCAGACTTCGGCACCTCTAGGCACCCCACCCCCAGAGGTCTGAAGACATTCATACCTCAGACACATCTGCAACCCATTCCCCATTCGCGCAGCCCACCAGAGTGTCATTCACACTGTTTGCAAAGCACTGCCCAAGCCAGGGCCCCCTCCCCGCCCCTCCTTTCTAGGGAGAGAATGTGCAGGCCTGGACAGTTTGTTTTTTCCAAAGAAACCTTTTTACCTGCCCTTTTCTCTCCCCATATTTTCCATTTAGCCGTCCACAGCTAGTGCCCAATTCACCATTCCCTGCTCCCCTGAGGAAATAGGACCTGAACAGCTTCCTTTGCAGAAAGAATTCTAAAAAAGGAGACTTCACTTAACTGATACAAATGAGCATTTTTCTCTGAGCAGATTAAACACCTAGCAACTCCTTCTCCTCCCTCTTCCCCCTCGAAGAGACCTACTCAAGGCACTTTCTTCACCTTACATCCTGTGCTTCATGGAAATGGCGCTTCCTTGGCTGTGATGGGAGAGGGGAGGGAGCTGGTCTGGGAGAGTGTCTTATTCTTAGGTTCTAGAAAGAGGAAATGGGGGCCCTTTGAGGTCAAGTGGCTGCTAAACTTTCCTTTAAACATAGCAGCCAGAGATTCAGCACCAAATGAGAAATCTGAGTCCTCCATTTCAAATTGTCTGGTAGAGAAATTTGGAGTAATAGTTTGTTCATCCTGAGGACCAAGAGTTTAAAACACTCACTCCTAGTTTCTCATCCTTTTTTCTCTTTTGGGCAACCTTCTTGCACCCACCCCATCAAGCTCTCACTCACCCACTCTCAGCTCAAACACCTTCAATGGCTCACTGTTTCCTTTCACGGAGTCCTATTTAAATCCCATTGCTCCACAAACTATTCCCTGAGTACCCAGATCCACTCGCTCCTCTGTACTCTCGGTTTCTTTAACAACTAAACTCTTCATTTAGCACTTAATACATTTCCAAGTATTATTTATGATGATTTAATAGGAGTTCATCTTATCTCCATAGTAGATAAAATGAAAGCTCTCTAATGAAAGCAATCACGTCATGTGTGCTGTACACGCCATAGTTTCCAGCGTTTTCATTGTTAGTTCTTTGTGTGTGTCGTGGGACATTTGGAATCTGATACAGACGGAAGACACCCTCTCCTGGAAAATGCACCTGTACTTGGAATTTGCGCGAGAGTTCCGAGGGTTTGCAGTTCTCTATTGCTCACCAGTGGAATCCAAATAAATAATACCTGACATTGCAAATAGTACTGTTGGCCAAGCAAATAATAGGTGCTCAATAATGGTCCGTGGATGTGTGACTCTCCCTGTTTTTCCTGCACAGATCGCCCTGACATTCTCGATTGTCTTTGCGGTCATTGTGTATCGTATCACAACGGCAGCTGCTCTGTCTCTCAACAAGGCCACACGCTCCAATGTCCGGGTGACAGTGACAGCTACAGCGGTCATCATCAATCTCGTGGTCATCCTCATCCTGGATGAGATCTATGGCGCCGTGGCCAAGTGGCTCACCAAAATCGGTACCGTGCCCCCATATCTGTGTTTGCTCCAGGCCCCCTTGAACATGGGAGCCTATTCAATGTATACAGCATTTTGGGTGATAATGACCCAACATGAGAAAAAGAACGGGAACGAGATGCTTTGTAGAGTGCATTTTAACGTAGAAATGAGGAGGTACAGTGGTTATGTGCTGGCGGGCCTACCGAGGGCCTCCCTTCAGGCAGAAATTTTTCTAATAACATTCTCTATTGGTAGTCCTCCAGCCCCAAGTTGATTGTCTCACTATCCCCTAAGAATAATTCATGGGTCTATTTTTTTTTTTTACTTACCTCAGATGCAAGACAGGTTCATCACTTCCTGTTAGAAATCACAGCGTTTTAGCTCTCCTCATTTTCCCAGCAGCATTTATAAAGTTGAGAAAGCCTCTTGATACTTGAGCCCAAGAGGGTCTTATCTATCCCCATATTGTCAGAGGCCCCAGAAAATCCACACATTCCCCATGCACTGAGCAGACTTCAAAGAGACGTATCAGACTTCCCAAGCTTCAAGCCGGTGAGAAAAATGCAGTGGCCTCAATATTCAGACGTGTCATTTGAGCCGCGACCTGCTGTTGCCTGAACACTACTTCTTGGCAATTGTGCCTGTTAGCTGGGAGGGGGTGGGTGCTGAGAGCTGAGACCCTTTCCTCATCTGGTTTATTCTGGGTGGCCCGGATGTACCCCTTTCCCTAGTTGAATCTAAGGACTCGGAATCTTCTCAATAACCTGTGGGAGGCTGAATTAATGATACGATGTCTTTAATTCACTGACCAGTTAGAAGCTAAGACACTTGATAGGCTAACCCCCTCTTCAAGAGAGCTTTCCCCGGAGGACCAGAGAATTCCGGAAAGGTTTCACTAATTCCAGTTACTCTTTCCGTGCCTTTCCCCGTCTCCGCTTCTATTCATAGTAAGCATTTACCTTGGTTTCTATGTGGATACAGGCAATTTACCATCTAGAGTGGCAGTTCTGCTCTCTTTAGGCAGGTACATAATTGTAAGTGTTATCTGTATTCCTTCATACGCTTCTTAAGACAAGTAGTCAGAGCGTTTTACCTCAGTAAAGCACATGTATTTAGTGGTACATGAGATTCTATGGAAGCACTTAAAAGGACCATCCGACACTCCTGGGGGCTCAGGGGAGGCTTCGGAGGGAAAGGCATCCAGTTGGAGAGCTCACAGATAAGTGGTGGTCAGACAGGCACATGCAGAGGGAGGAGGGAGTGGGCAGAAGAAGAAGATTCCTGGCAGAGGAAACAGAAGGAGAAATCCCTAAAGAGGGAGAGCAGATCCCTCGGGGTTAGGAAAGGCACACAGAAGGGGTGTGTGGCTGGGCTCGTACGCTGGGTAGGTGGGTGGGATGTCGGTGGCCTAAATGCCAGGGAGCCAAAGGAGCAGAGCTCAGCATATGGAAGAAAGAGAACAGGAAGCATTTCCAGGATGCCGGAGGAGCCGGTATGGGGTGGTTCTAGGGTCTGTGGCATGTCTGAGGCACAGCATAGTGGCGGACTGGGCCCAGAGAGTTGGTGATATCTGCCTTTTTTTTTTTTTTTTGGTGGAAGACCTCAAATGCCATGCTGAGGACTCTGCTTATTTTCATAGACAATGGAAAAGTGTTTGCAGGAGTTCGAAAGGGCATTCAGTGAAAAGTACCCATCATCCCAGCCTGAGTACTGAACCAGCTGAGGAATAAAATAAAGACAGATATAGATAAAAGCCAGGATATCACCTTTAAAGCTGAAAAAGGTTGCATTGGAAGAGAGCCAGATAGCTTCCTAATGGTGGATTCCAGACAGATTTACCCTGGTGGGCAACAGTGGACGAGGCAGCCCTGCAGGTCTTAGACAAACACCAGCTTAGTGCAGGCACTTTGCTCCCTGAAGAAAGGGCAGAGAAAGTGGGTAGACGACGAATGCCAGTGTCACCTTCCGGTGTAACCAATGAGATAAACTATTCCTCGCTTCTGTCACCCAAGAGGAGAAATGAGTGAAGCGGGGGAGGCGATAAGGCAGGACATTGCAACTAATCACACTCCCTCCACCTGGAAGAAACATCAGCAGTGGAAAGTAATGTTGCCTCAACAGTTCCTGACTCAATAGCTCCATCCCCACTGAAGACTTTTTGAAGAGTGCGATGTGATGGCAGCTGTATGTTTTCAGAATTACTCGGGCTGGAATATAGGATGCCACAGAGTAGCGAGAGGCTAGAAGATGTAATGTAAGGGAGATTACTGGGCGTGTGGGCAGGAAGTAGGGAAGAGAGGAACCGAGACTCGGTGATGATGGAGAAATGTCTACTTGCTGTCCATTTGCATTACTTTATTTCACTTTTCTTACACAGCTCCAGATAGTGATAAAGACAGAAGATAAATGGAGTGGTTGACAATTAAAAACTCATTAGCAAGTATTTAGTGAGCACCTCCCATGTTCAAGGCTGGGCAAATTCTCTTTGCATTGAGCCATAAAACAGTTTCCATTCTATAAAGCTACAGCTGCTTCTAATAGCACTCCCTTCCACACCCCAAAAGTTCAGGTCTCCCCAGGCTATTAAACCAGCATTCAGTTCTCCACAACAAAATCTGTCCAGTGGAAAGAACCTATGAGTTCTAGAAAGGAGATAAAATTCTAGCAAGTACATTTTGTCCTTCATCATAGTGATACTCATAAAGTAGTTTTAAACTAAAAAAGAAATTCTATTATCCTATTTCATCTTTGCAAAAACCATGTGTTTTCAGCAAGGGAATTATTACATCCTCATATACTAAGATTCGAACTCAGATTTTACCTCTAAAACACAAAGGTCTTTTGTGCTATTTTGATGTAAGTTTCTTACTGTTTGGATTGAAGTAGAGTATTGGGTCTCCACTCAGGAACTCTGCAGGCATTGTCCAGGTTGTTGCTTTTGTCGGTCTCAGACTGGGTGGTCCCAGAGGGCTCACAACTGCTGCTGTGTAGCAGAAGGAACAATGAATTCATGTCGTGGAAAAAACCTGTGAGTTCTAGACCTGGCTCCTCCCTCCCACTCTTAGCTGGATGGCACCGGGCAAACAGGGAACTTTTCTGGGCCAAGTTTTATTGCTCCTTCCTTAATCATTTTCCTCCTCCTTCTCCATGGATCATCACCCCTATCTTGACTGTTGTCATAGCCTAATGGCTGTGCCTTTGTTTTTAGCTTCTTTCTATGGGCATCTATCTTGGAAACTCCAATCCAGTTAGCCTTTCTTAAAAAATGGGATTGGTGGGGCATTGCTGCCGTTCAGCCCCTGCAGAGAGCTTCCTTTTCTCCTTAGGTCAAATATAAACTAGAATTTGAGGCTCTCAACCACCGTCTTCCCACTGTCCTCCACCCCAGCCAATCCACTCAGCTCACAGACACCTCAGACTGCCCTGTGTGTTTCTACCCCTGTGCCTTGCGCAGGCTGCTGTAACTTCTGTAGTGATCCCCAGTGACATTCCCTTTAAAGGACCCCTGGAGGCCTAACTCCCCCATGAATCATTTTCTGGACACTCAGCCCTCAGCGAGTTTCCTCTTACCCACTTCTGAACAACTTGGCCACAGATCATTCATTCATTTGTTCACCTCTCAGACGTTGATTGAGTGCCTACTTTGTGCCAGGCTCAATTCTGGAAACACAGCTGTAAACAAGAAAGACACGGTCCCTGCTCTTCTTGTATTTACACTGTGGGACAGGAAAGATGGACAGTAGACGAGAACATTCCCTGGAGGGCGAGAAAGCAGAACAGAGAGCTATGATAGTCGTTGGGGTTGTGTGCTTTGGAACAGGTGGCTGGGAAAGGCCTGTTGCAGTGGTACCATTATAGGTGAGACACGGACAACAGGAGGGCACCAACCACACCGAGATCTGCAAGGAGGACTCAGGAAGAGGCAACAGCAAAGGCCATAACAGAGGGGACACAGTACCACAGACTGGGTGGCTTATAAACCACAAGGTGGGAGTCAGCTTGGAGTATATCATCTACTCCATTCACTGGAATTTGTCCTGTCCTGTCTGGTATCATTCCTGTATTTGTGGGTGTGGATGTATATCCCAGTATTAGATTAGACAAGACTATGCTAGGGCAATAGATTAATCTTAAAATCTCAGTTGCATAACGCGAAGTTGTTTATTTGTTGCTCAGACTACATGTCTAGTGTGAGAGGCCAGGGATCTCTGCTGCACACAGTTGCTCAAGGACCCAGACTGATGGAGGCCACATGGACACCATGTAGGGGAAAAAGAGAGCTGGGTGGTCCCACAGAGGCTATGAAATACTTCAGTCTGGAAGTGTCATCCATCACTGTTCACAGTGCACTGGTGAGAACCAGCCTAATTATGAAGTCATTAGAAAATGTGTGTACGTGTGTGGACATTCTGTGAGCAGGAAAGGTCTCTGCCACTTGCTCCAACTAGGCTACAAAGCCCTAGAGAACAGCTACTCTGTTTTACTTTGCTCTTTATTTCCTACACAGTGCCTGCCTCATGGTAGATCTTAGCATAAGTTTATCAATGCAGATTATTGGTGAAATCATCTCTCTTTTAATTTGTGCATTCAGAAAAACTCTTTCAAGGAATGCCCATAGGCTAGGCATCCTGTAAGCCCTAGTAGAGGCTACCGTGAGCATTTCTATATTCTTTATTTCCACTCTGCCTACTTATCAAAGGACTTGAGGAAATACTGAGATGTATAAGGCAAATGCGAAGTTGTCATAATGCGAGAGTGACTGAAAGGTGCAACAAAGATATCTGAAGACTTGAATTTTCATTAATGGCAAAAAGTAGACATACTAATGGAGATGGTCATACACAATGGGGGATGACTAGCACACCTGCAGGCAAAGGTAGGGCTTCAGGTCTTCGTGGGGACATAAAGCTCTGGATAATGCCACCTAATGGAATGAGGATTCTGCCAGGTTTAGGGGCTTCCTTTGCCATTCTCATGCTGGGTTTCATACCCATCTGGCTTCCCGCCCTAAATCTCCTGA